TTAAAGAGATAAGTAGTATTATGGCAATAGCATTCTGTTAATCAGTTAGGATCAGTACTGTAACATGGTTACATCAGATAACTGGCAGGTCATAGAGCATCTGCACAATGTTGGAGTTACACAAAGAAATGCAAACCAGCATCAGGTAGTGCAAACTCAAGATAAGTTCTTGTGATCATGTAAATCTATAAACTGGGAAACTAGAGCCCACTTGGAAAGACCAGAGTAGAGAGATAGCACAGATCTTCAACAGTACTACTATAAAGACTAGACCTAGAAAATAGATACCAATGTGAAAGGAATCAGGTGGGCAAGAACCTCAGATGAAAAGTACTACCAACCAGGCTGTTAGAAGTCTCGAACCAAAAAAAAAGGATCTTGAAAGGCAGACTCTAAAGTACTAGGGACAGGTCATAGTCTTACTGGGCTATCTGAATTGTGAGTCTAAGGTCAGAAACAGATATATACTATAAGTACTAGGGATATGCTATAAAATGATCTGGATGAACTCTGCAAAGGTGAGCTCTGTTAACAAGATACTAAATATGAGTAGTTAGTTAGCAAGAGGGCCCCTAGAACTCTATAGTTAGGTGATATACTTTGAAATATATAATGGCTTGATGAATGTATAGACAGAGAGGTTATGATAAGGTTAGATAGCACTTAGGTGTACAGAAACTTGTGTGCTATTTGTCAATATAAGTATAGGGATCAGAGTATTTAAATAGGTAATCTCCTAGTAGATTGCAAGTATGGCAGCTAGTGTAGAACCTGCTATGTAGGCAGACTACTTAAAATAGACAACCAAAAGTTGTATATGTAGCTAGTTATATACTCATCTTGTACAAGTTATGTAATCATAATTAAATACAATAAAGACAATAGCTGCTGATAACTATAGCCTTAGTATAAGCAAAAAAAAAATAAAATAAACAATTAATATAAGAATTTAACATCAAAAAAATGTTGAAGAAAAAAATTTTGTTGACTTCTTATTAAAAGTAAATGAAGAAAAAATAAAAGTAGATTCTGATCTTGGTAATATTTATATAAAATTACCTAATAATATAGTCTTTGATAAAAAAACATTTAATAAATTAATATCTAAGATATTTAAAAATATTAATACTAAATATTAAACAGAAGATTATAATAACTATATTAAGAATAGAGTAATATTATTAACAAAAAATAATAATATTGAAGAAATTAATTAGCAAGTTTTAAAAATTATTCTAGATCAAAACAAATATAAATATTTTTTTGCTAATTCTGTTTAAGAAAAAGATAAAGTTAATGTAAGTCTTTATCTATTAGAATTCTTAAACACATTAATATCAAGTAGAATGGCATTCTATATATTAGTATTAAAAAAAAATATATTAGTTATTTTTTTATATAACTTTAATTTAGCTAAAAGATTATATAATAGTACAAGATTAATTATCAAGAAATATTATTAAAATACTATTGATGCTAAAATCTTAACAGAAGTTAATCAAAAAAAAAGAATATTTTTACTTTGAATAAAATTGTCACTATTTGATCTTAACCTTTTATTTCAATTAGTAAAAAAGCAATTTTTAATTAAATTATCTTTACAATAATAATTAATAAAGCTCAAAGTCAAACAATTCCAATTTTAAGATTATATTTGTCTAAATTAGCCTTTATATATGGGCAATTATATATAGCTTTATTAAAAGTTTAATCACAAGACAATATTAAAGTTTTGGTTAAGAATAGACATAAAAAAAGAAAAGAAGATATTTACATAAAAACATTGTATATAAAAAAATATTTATATAATATATCTACATATTTTGTATTTATATTTTGCATTTTATTTTATATTTACATTTTGTATATTTTACTTTTATATTTAATATATATTTTGTATTTATATATTGTATATAATTTGCATTTACATATTGTATATAATTTGTATTTATAATTTATTTTTTTATTTTTTTTATTTTTTGGTGACCTCTTTGGTCTTTTGACTTTTATTAATTACTTATCAGTATTGTAATTCAATAAACTACTACAGGAGAGAGTACAATTGGCTATATGTGTAACTTTTCTATATTACCTATTTAAGGAGTTTGCCCAAAGGTTTCTTACTAATTGCTATATCTAACACTTCTGCTTGGATGTTTCACTTTAAACTCTCTGAATTTATAATCTGTGTTAACTTACTGGTTCATATTCAGATACCCAGATTATTATCTCAACCTTAGAACTAATTTATTCTCGAAGTAAACCCCCCAGAGCCTTTTGTACTTATTTTTATAACTGACCTAGATATCACTATAACAGAACTAACATTTGTGGTTAGGACTAACTATTAAACTACTATGCCCTTGTAGAGTTCACTTAGATTCCAGCATCTACTTCACAGCATAACCTCGATACTTTAGTATACCTCTGTCTTTTTATCTGCTTTTTTATCAAACTTCCAATTCAGATAGCCCATATAGGACTACGACCAGTCTATCAATATATTGGGTTAGTCCAATATCCTTTTTCTCTAGTTCGTTTTGGCACCTGGTTAGTGATACCTTTGAGACTTTCAACCCAGAGGTTCTTGCCCATTCAGCTATTACGACCAGATACTATGACCTTGGTATCCATTTCCTTAAGCTAGTCTTTACAGTAGGGCCATTAAAGAACCAGCTATCTTTCTACTTGGATCTTTCCAAATAGACTTCTTGTTATTCAATTTCAACATATTTATACAGTTACAAGAACTTATCTAGTGTTTGCACTGCCTGATTTGTCAGTTTGCATTTCTTTGTATAATGCCATACTTACACAAATGCCCTATGACCTGCCAGTCATGCTAGTGCAACTGCTATTACAGGTATCCTAACTTAATCATTAGTAACAATTGCCATAATATAAATATTACATAGGTTATTATTCAAATTTTTACTGTCGATGAGATTTGAACACCCAACCTACCACTTGAAGGGTTGCAACCTGACCACTTCACTAGGTTACTACACTCCTGCATTTATAATTTATAGTTTGTATATTTTATATATATATATATATTTTTTGATATTAAGATAACCTTTTTGGTCTTTTGACTTTTATTAATCACTTATTGGTATTGTAGTTCAATGAACTACTACAAAAGAGAGTACAATTGGCTATATATATAACTTTTCTATATTACTTACTTAAGAAGTTCACCTAAAGGTTCCTTACCAATTGCTATATCTAACATCTCTGCTTGGGTGTTTTACTTTAAATCCTTTAAATCTGTAACCTGTATTAACTCACTAGGTCATATCCAAATGCCCAGATTATCATCTCAACCTTAGGACTAATTTATCTTCGAGGTAAACCTTTCAGAGCCTTCTGTACTTATTTTTACAGCTGACCTAGGTATTACTATAGCAGAACTAACACTTGTGGTTAGGACTAACTATTAAATTGCTATGTTTTTGTAGAGTTTACTTAGACTCTAGCATCTACTTTATAGCATAACCTCAGTACTTTAGTATACCTCTGTCTTTTCATCAGCCTTTTTACCAAACTTCCAATCCAGATAGCCTATGTAGAACTATAATCAGTTCATTGGTATATTAGGTTAGCCTGATATTCTTTTTCTTTAATTCATTTTAGCAGCCTAGTTAGTAGTATTTCTGAGACTCCCAGCCTAAAGGTTTTTGCCTGTTTGGCTACTATAACTAGATACTACAACCTTGGTATCCATTTTCCTAAGCTAGCCTTTACAGTAAGGCCATCAAAGATCCAGCTACCTCTCTACTTAGTCTTTCCAAATGAACTTCTTGTTATCTAATTTTAATGAACTTATATGACCACAAGGACTTATCTAGTGTTTGCATCATCTAATTTGTTAGTTTGCATTCCTCTATATAATGCCATACTTATACAGATGCCTTATAACTTGCCAGTCATATTGGTGTGACTGCCATTACAGGTATTCTAACCCAATCATTAGTAATAGTTGCCATAATACAAATATTACATAGATAATTATCCAAATTTTTATCATCGATGAGATTTGAACACCTAACCTACTACTTAAGAGGTTGACAACCTGACCACTTCACTAGGTTGCCACACCCTATATTTTATATTTATAATTTATAGTTTGTATATAATTTATATATAGTTTAAAAATATTATTATTTAATTATTAATATATATTTGTATATAATTATATGTAGTTTAAAAGTATTATTATTAATTAATTTAATATTGTGACCTCTAGGGTTGATAGCATAGTGGTTATATTCTGAGGTCACAAATTACAAGGTTGCTGGTTTAAATCCTAGTGATGGCAATTGTAGAGATGCATTTCTAAATAGGGAACTGCAATACTGTAATACCAGAGACCTGAAACATCATCAAACAAACTTATTTCTAAAAAAAACAAGTGACCTGTGATTAAGAAGCCACCTGGTAATAAACATAAGTTAGAACCCGATTTGAAATAACCAAAGTCATAAGATATAATGTAAGGCCAAAAGTCTAACAATGAAAGATACTATATGAACTTATGATGAAAGTTGGTTCTTGACAGAGCCTAACAAAGCCTTTTAATTCTGGCAGAATTAGTGCAAATAGATTGCTCTTGGAAACTTTAAAACTACAAACTGGAGAAGGTTAAGATCCAGTAACTGTAAACATTTAAAAACATTAGTTTGAGAAAGTTAGAACATGAGAAAGATCTTAGCAAGATGATAAAAGTAAGAAAAAAAAAATTTAATATTGTATATAGTTTAAAAATATTATTATTAATTAATTGTATATAGTTAACTCTCTTTATACCAAACTGCATGTTCTGAGAAATTTTGTTTAGTATAAAGTAAGTTCACTTTATACAGTTTGCTCTCTATATTGAACTATTCAAAATATACAGCTAACTAATAAAATTATATCTATGTAATCAAGAATCTTATATATAATACTGTATATAATATATGATATACAGTATTGAACAATTTTATAAAAAAAAAAAACATCTATTTGAACTCTGAAAATAGTAATGAAAATCAACTTGTTTGAGATTTTTTACAATATTTAACTGAACCTGTTTGTATAATTTTCTTAAAATTTTTACTTCTTCATCAGCATCTTCAAACTCTGAACCTTGTTTATATAAAAACCTTAGTGTTTATTTATACAAAGTTTTGCTATCATATAGCTAACTTTTTCTTGTTCAATAAATTCTTCTTTTTTACCTTTCTCCTTATTTTCACTTTTAACAATCTTTAAAATTTCTTCTTTAGTAAGCCCACTCTTAACTTTATTATTCTCAGTATAGATATATTCATATATGGTAAATGAATTATCTGTTAATAAGCAGCTAATTAGTTCTGTGAGTTTTGATTTATCATTCATGTTATTAAAAGGTTTCAAAAGTTTTTTTTAATTTGATAAAAATACAGCAATAATTATTAATATATCAAAAGTTAAAAATTAACAAGTACATATTTTAAGTTTTACAAATTCACATTAATAAGTATAAGCCTTTAAAAATATAAAGATGTAAATATAATGCTGTAACTTGTAATTATAATAAATTAATAACTATAACAAATTATAGCATTACTTTCATATCTCTAATTTTTCTATTACTAATTACCTGTTTTGATCAAGTTCAATAAGTTCTTGAAAATCATTATATAGAAGAATACTAGTTTTTTGTTAGCAATTTTTAATAGCATTTGGTAATACTATAGACCATGCTTCAGCTGTATTCATTATAGCATCATAAATATTGTACAGGACTATTTTATTTACTACTTCATTTTGCATATTATCATATTTATTAATATGGTTTTGAACAAAAAAAAATTTGTAATAGCACTTAAATAAATAAATAATTTCTGCATCACAAAGTTGGAGAATCAAGATTGTATTTGCTAGAAAAAATTCTACTTACAAACAGTCTAATTTTATCTTAGTTTCATCAAAAATAATATGTACTAGGCATTATTAATTAAAAGTATAATTTTTCGATTTCTTAGTTTTATTTGATCATTAAGCTTAAGAAAAAGATCATTAAAAATATTAACTTGCATCCAAGCCTTTTTGTTCTAGTAATAGTAAATAGAAAGGTTAGCATAGTTAAGATTTCTTAAAAGATGCAGTGTTTTATAAATATGAATAAAAGCAAGTTTTATTTTTTTAGTTCTACTTGCATTTGCAGTATATAATATTGATATACATGACTTTTCTTTTTTGTACTCTGCTAATCTTAAACAAGCCAAAGTATAGGAAAGTCTTATTTTCCAATAAAGTTCAGTTTTATCAGTATTTTAAATGTCTTCAAAGTTATAGGATTGAAGTAATTCTTGTAAAGCAAGTTAGTCATTTTCTATTTGTTTCATAGAAAAGGCATTTGCTAATTCATTCTCTTTTTTAAATTGGCAAAGCCTATAATGTTTTTTGAAATCAGTAAGCCAATAATCAAAATAGTGAAAATCATTAATAAAAAAATAGTTTGCAAAAAATTTTGCTTTTTTCTTAAGAATATAATTATTAATATTTTGACTACTATTAAGTGCATTATTTTTTCAAAGTCTAAGAGCTTTCTTAATTTTTACTACTTTAGCTCATAAAATTTTTTTATCTTACCTTTTTTTTTAATTGTAATAGCTAATCAACATTCTTTTTTCTTTAGAATATTCATTATTGTTAACTTTCCAATCTGAAACTTACTTGCAAAATTTATATTTTTAATATTTGGATCTATTTTTTTTGCTTGACAAATATCATATTTTTGTGTTGCAAAAAGAATTACTCATTTTTTTGTTAACATAATGCCAAAATAAAGTACAAATAACTCATAATTATCAGATACTTATATAAAATACAACAAAGAATTTCTAATAATCTAATTAACAAATTTATGAACTTATACAAATAACATTATTATCTTAATATAGCATACTATATAATTATACATACATATATATATAAATAAGCATAGATAATATAATATGCAAAGCTGTTTTTAGTTAAACAACTTACATCATATACTAGAAATAAAGTGGGCACATTGTATCTTTACTTTTATTATTCAAAAAAAAAAAAGCAGAATTATCAAGTTAGGATTAATTACTACACTAGCCAAAAGTAAAAATATCATGTATTAAATAACATATTTCAATAGTTAATCATATTATTTTATAGACATTTATGTTTATAAAATTAGCTATTATCCCAAGAAGTAATATTGTTAAAATTTTTATTATTAACTTGCACTATTATAATAAGGCTAATCTGATCTTAGTTATTGTTTTATTTTTTTTTTTGAATTTTGCCATTTATCTATAATCTTATTATTATTATTATTATTATTATTTAAAAATAAAGTCTTGTCTTAATTTCTTTATTGATTATTAATATCTAAATATATTTTTATCTGTAGTACATATTATTTAATCTCTGAAAGCTAAGGCTTAGACTACTTTATCTATAACCTAGACTTTGCTAAAGAGGATCAAAGTTTCTACTTAGTTTATAATTGTGTTAATGTAATTTGGTAAGATATTGTGATTTATAAACATTTTTTTTTATATTTTAAGTTTAATTTCTGTTTTCAATTTAGTTAGTTCTGTATTGTATATGTCTGCTATTGCTGTTGAGACTGTCATTAAGTTTTTATTATTAGCTACTATTGTGAAGTATTTGGTTTTGGTAAATTGTTGTATTGTTCCTTGCATCATGTTATCCATATTTTTTTATATATTTTTTGTGCAATTTTGTATATTAAGTATATTGATAAACTGTATTTTGGTTTTGGTACTTTTGCTATTTTGTTAATGAATCTTGTACTGTTTTAAGAAAGCATTTTTAGTATAACTCTTGTTAGTTTTGTTTGTGAGTCAGTTAGACAAATATCTTGGGTTATTAATGTTATGACTCAGTATCTTGTTTGATTATCTGTTATTTCATATTTGGTTAGAGTTTTGATGACTGTTTCTATTATTATTTTCTGTAAGCTTGTGTTATTACTATTGCATATTATCAAGTAGTAGTTACTTTCTGTTGTTGCTTAACACCTTTGGCATATTGGATTATAGTATTTTTTTTTTGTTATTATGAAATATTTCCAATGTTAGCAGCTCTTCTAGTAGTAATTTTAATTTAAATGCTTTAAGTTGAGAGTATTTCAGGTTTGTTTGTCTTTTGTGTTATGAATATTGATAATTTAAGTAGTTGTAAAAAGATTTCCAATCTACATCTTTGCAAATAGTATTCTATATTTGAGCTTATGTCTGTGATTGCAGGTATGCTATGTGGTGTGCATTGTAAGTATAATGAATAAATTTTCTAATATTATATTCAATGCAAGTATTTTGCCAAGTAAAATATAGAATGTTATGATGTATATTTTTGTAACTTATATCTATTTCTATAGTAGGCAAGTCTGTGTTTATAGTATATATTATGAAGTTGTTTACTATAAAAGTGTAATTTAGGTCTTTTCTTGCAATTAATGCTTTTTATATTAGCCAGCTTGGCCAATTGTTTAGGTGATGTATTTGATATATATTATTTATTGTAGTTGCATAAACTGTTTTAGCTAATTTTGTAAAATGGTTTTTGTCTGTAATGATTTGAATTCTTGTTTCATCTAGCATTATTATTGAACTGAGTATTAAGATTGTAATAAGTGTTTTAGTTATTGTAGGCCATTTTGATAGTGCTGTTTTGAACTGCAATTGTAATAATGAAAGGTTATATATTATTATATCTTGTTATGTGTTATTAATTATTTGTTGTTATTGATTTAATTGAAAGGTAATGTCTTTTGTTGTTTGTACTTTTGTTGTAACTCTTATAGATATCTAGCTGGTTCTGGATTTTCTATTGTTTCTTCTGCCAGCTTGTATTTTTTTTGAATATTGCTTTAGTTTTGTGTTTTTTAATTGGGATTGTATATGGTTTGTTCTAAGTCTTGTATATTTGCTCTTAAGGATTTTTTACTGTTTACTAATGTTTTTTAAAGATCATGTAGTTTGATCTTACTTGTGCAATTTTTTTTTGAAATCAATATTATTTCATTGGCATCCTGTGCATGACTTTAGCTTAATAGATGTACTGTTTATAATCTAGTAATTGATTGTTGTCTAATTGTCTTTTATAGATGATATTTGTTCTATATATTCACCTAGTGTATTCTTTTTTATTGCTCATAATGCCTTTTCAAGTATTTAATATGAATTAAAGGTAAATGAATTTGGAGTGATAAGGTTGTAGTTGTTGTTGCTTAGATTTTGTTTTATGTTTTCTGTTATAAGTTTGTACTATTTAAGTTTTTTTCTTTTAGGTATTTGTGTTCATGTTAGTATATTTGTATTTTTATAATTTGTACATTGTTCAATAGAATGCAATCTAATTTTGTTGAGCTTAGCCTTGATTAGATATAGTTTGTTTATTTGCTAAAATACTATTTCTATTGATATGCCTTTGTGTTCTGCTGGTTTTGGCCAGTTGTTATTATTGTTCAAAAAGACTATTTCTGTCTTCTGTATGCTATATAGCATTTTTGCTAATAAAGTTTTTGATTCTTTTTGTAACAAAATATATATGCTATTAGTTAGTATTAACTTATTGCTATAGATAGTGTTTTGAATTTGTTAGATGCATATTTTTAGTATTGAGTTTAAAAGTTTAGCATAATTGAGCTATTTGTATATAAATGAGATGTGCTGCTATATTTAAATGTTTGCAATAGTTTATAAACCATAGATCTGATGATAAAATAGTGTTAAGTTAGGTACTGTTCATGTGAGGCCAGCTTTGTGCTTTACTATTTCTATATAGTGGTTTGTAATTAATTTACTTAGTTGAGTAAGCAAATAGGTGTTTTGTACTCTGTATATTATTCATATTAATATAACAGTATTAATGATATATATGGTCTGTTTTTTTGTTATGTTTGTATTTTTAATTCTCCTTATAGCATTGTCAGCTTCTTTTTTGATAATTTTGTAGATTGGCTTGTGATTTTTGTAAGTAGTATATCAATATTCAAGAAAGCAAAAGGCCTCTTTTGGCAATATTGCCTTTATCATTGTATTATTATATATTATGTTTGAGTTGCTAATTGTTAAGTTGGTTACTGCAAGTACAGATTTGTTTGGATTTACTTTTATATTTGTAAATGAGAAAAATAAGTTTGCAGTTTTGATAATTAATTGTAGTTTTGTTTAGATTGAGCTATTTATATAGTGTTATTCATATAAGCTAGAGCTGATATATCAGAAAATTTTATTACTAGATATATATTGATATATATTATTAGAAAAATATTGATATATATTGATAAATGCATTATTACTCGATAATTAACCAATATTGGTAAATATTGATTATTAGATGTTCAT